ACCAAACAACTGATTGTTCAGATATAAGATTTTTCGTTATAACTCCTCCATTTATATAGCCAGGAAAATGAAATTTCGCAGTGTTTTCAATAATTATCAGAAAAAACTTACAGTGTAAATTACAAAGATCGGGTAACTATAACCTATAGCTCTCATACAACTTATTGTTCAGATATTAGATTTTTCGTAAGAACTCCCCCATTTAGGTAGCTAGGAAAATGAAATTTCGCACGGTTTTCACTCATTATCAACAGAATACTAACAATGAAAATAACAAAGATCGGGTAACTGTAACCTTTAGCCCCAACACAACTGATTGTTCATATATGGGGCCTTTTATCATGGCTCCTTCATTTATGCAGTTAGGAACATGAAATTTCGCACCGTTTTCACTCATTATTAACAGAATACTCTCAGTGAAAATTACAAAGATCGGCCCACTATAGCATATATCTCCCATACAGCTGATTTTTCAGATATGAGAAATTTCATTATAACTCCTCCATTTATGCAGCTGGGAATATAAAATTTAGCACTATTTCCACTCATTATCAACAGAAAGTTTACAGTAAAATGAACAAATCTCGGGTTGCTATAACCTATTTATTGCCTCCATACCACTGATTGTTCAGATACCAGTTTTTCGATATATCTCCTTTATGTTGGAAGCTAAACCCATTAAATTGTGTTACTGGTTTACATACCGATCACACAGCAGTAAAAATCACTTAGGTTGGTGCTATATAAGGTATGTCTTCCATACCTTTGATTGTTTAGATATGATTTTTCATATATGTATCTCCTCTATCTATGTATGCTGTGAATATATACAGTTTTTCAAATGCAGTAATCTGTTAAAGTAAAAATTTCAGATGTTCATGAAAGGTATGAAGCCTTCGGCATAGCCGAAGACAGCGCTGCTCTTACTTGTTGTTTGTAGTTTTTCCCATAATTTTATTTTTTAAGAGGCTTCCCTGAGGAGAAATAGAGAAAGACATCACGTCATTGAATTCTTTAGTCGTTTCTCTCTCAAGTAATTTTTTTTTGTACCAGTGTCAAATTAAAATTTCTTTAGAATTTTATATATTTTTTCTGGGGCAAACCGTAGCTCCAAATTGATCAATTGAGGAAATAATGAATGTCGATTCTTGAATTTTTTGAATCGAATCGGAACTAAAAATCGACAAAAAATCCAGCCGTAGGGTCTCGATTAATCGATCTTCGATTTAATCGATTTAAAAACGGCATCTCTTGTGTGGATACGGTTGCATGAAAAACATGGCATATGTCAAGTCCAGTTTCTGCCTCATGCGCGGCAATAGTTTTCACTCTTGCTGCCGATTTTTAAACGCTTCGGATAACTTTGTGTAAATGCCAAAGCGTTTATTTTGCAAGTGAAATAATTGAAGCATTTGAAATTCAACACAAATTAGCAAATTTTATACGTTAACCATTCGCTTAAAGTCACGTTCGACAGCAGCTCGCTCATTTCCATGGAGATTAACCACCGACAATCGACAAGCGTCGAAATGCCAACAATTTCCGATTTTGGGGTTTTCTTACTGTTTTATTGTTTTTTTTTTCGCTGCGCTTGTGATTTGCTATTTTCCGTGGTTATTTTGCTGTCGAAAATGTTGCTGTAGTGTTATTGCCACTTATTTCACATTTAACGAGAAAACATAATGGGTTCCAAAAAAAAACTAAAAATAATATAAAAAGAAGCGTCGAGGAATGACCGCCAGCGGTCCAATGTTGAAACAGAAAAGGTAAAATGCAAAATAAACTACAGCAGCAGTACACGTTTAAGAAACCATTTGAAGCTTAGAGGCACGTCGCTGGTACGGGTGTGGATTCGTTCATTTGGCAGCGCTTGCAGGTAGCTTATGGCGTGACAAGCTTACCACATGCATGTGTAGCTGGCCCGGTCAGTCGCTAGCTGAACCGAACCCCAAAATAACAAAATTGTGAACGATCTGTTGCACTTATTTTTTAAAGATTTTTAGATACCTGCCTGAGCTGAAGAAGTTAGTTGAAAACTGGTTTTTGTGTTGATTCTAGTTCCCAACTGTTGTGGTTTGGTGCTGGTTGCCACTTTTTCGATTTATTTTATATATTTTTCTTTGAAGTTTTTAGCATTGCCTGGCACTCATTTATCCGTATATCGCATTGTTGATTATCTTCACTATTTGCTACCTCAACATTTGCTTTATTAATTCATTTTGGCGTCGTCACCCCTCAAGGTCGGTGCTTTGCCTTAAATGGCGTCTCGCCACGACGCACCGCTCTCACCCTAACCCAACTTGTTTTCACTTGTGTGTCGTCTCACTTTGCCTCACACAAACCAACTGGTCCATCTCCTGCTAAATACTTTTAAGCTCGCATGCGATTTCTCCCAATAATTTTTTTATTGGTTTTTACTTCCATCGGTCTTCGTTGGCTGCCATTCTTTATCTGCGATGAATTCCTTATATTATTGGATAACATTTTATTTGGCTTAAACTATTTGCAAAATGAATAAAAAATCAAAATAATAGATTAGCGTTTGTTATGAGTCTATTGTAGACAACGTGGATATGCCAATAACACTCACGCACACAGACGCACACTGTCGCTTGGCGCTCATTAATCAAATAAGACAATATGCATTTCAAATGTATTTTTTTCTGTTCAGTGGAATAAAATATTCAATGAGTATCCAGCGTGAATATTGATTTGTATTGAATAAATAATGCGCTGCAAAATGTATAAAAAAAATAAAAATAAATAGTCAAACAAAAAATTAAAAATCTGTAAAATTACAATAAAAATGTCGCCCATCTCCTGTAATCAATTTATGTAAATCGGCAGCATTGACGTTGATTAAAAATATTTATTATTTATTAACTTCATGAATATCAATAATTATGCTGGCATTGTTTAAATGCCCGACTAATGGATATTTTCACCTGTGCTATGCAAATGCGCGGACAAATGAAATTGCGTGACTCACGAAATAATCTATGTTAATTTTATGCATATTTTATGTTCCGGATAATCGCGGATAATTTGTTTTTGCGGCTCTAATTTGTCTATTTTGAATACTTAAGTAGAAAAAAATTCTTAGAAATCATGTCTAATGGCGGATAATCAAATACAAAGAGAACTTTGATAATAAAATAAGAAAAAAAACGAACTCCAATATATTTAACAAATACAGTGAAACCTCTCCTAACGGACACCTCTATTAGACTGACATCTCCCTTGGGCGGACATTTTTTCCTATACCAAGTTTTAAGTATAAATTTCGGAACAAATTACACTCTCTTAAGCGGACACTCTCTTGGCCGGACGCGGACAGTTGTTTTGCATAAAATTGGCACAAAAAACTCTATTGAGCGGACGCGAACCTCTTATCAACGGACATTAAGATTTCTTTTCATAACAAATCAAACAAAAACCTCCGTTGAGCGGACGCGAACTCCTCATAGGCGGACTACTAAATGGAAAAAGGGGACTTCCCGCATAAAATGTGATTGTTATGCACACATTTAGTTTGGTTTGCGCAGTGGTTTAGGTTCGTTATTTGAATTATCAGAAACCCTTGGAGAATCCAATTCCAATTCTGATGAATTTATAACAATAGATAATAACAAATACATGGACTGAAGATTTATATTTTATGGTTGGATTTTGTTACTGATAAAAACATGAAAACTATTGATGAAAAAGGTACTGACACTGAAAAAAATTAAAAATAAAACTTACGTCAATCGACAATTTCCCAGTTTTTTATGTAATGAATCTATGGTTTTATGTAGGGGAGGTTTCAGTGTACCTACATTAGGGCGGTCCTTTAAATATCGACATTGTGAGGCACCCCTTTATTTTGCTCTACGTACAAATAAATACATCTACCAACATTTTAAAAATCGATGTTTTTCGATAAAAAAAATAGTTTTTTTAAACCCTGATAGCGACTTTTAAATTTTTTTCATTTTGAATGTTTTAAAAGATTTCCACACGCAAAATCTAGATTTTGATATTTTTAAGGACCACCCTACATATATCTTCGCATATTTCTGTAGTTTAATGCCATGAAAAGATCAAATAAACAACTGAAAATTTTGTATTTTGTATTTTTAGTGTTGTATTTCACATAAGATTTGATAAATGCTTAGGTTTTTTATGAACGATCCGATATTTTCACCTGAATTATATGATCAAAGTGACTTTTTATTAGAGGGCGCTAACTTATCTTACCTTTATGGACACTCTTGCCTCCGGAAATGCTCGAATAATTTGTTTTTAGCACATTTTTTTCTTTTGCATACAAAGTTAAAAAGCAGTTTCTGATGAATAACCAATGGAATAGCTGTTTTCTCTGTCATATTTCTACTTTCCATTGGCAAAACAACGCCGGATAAGATGAGATAGTTTAGATAACAGGGTTCGTTCACATATATAGGAAATGTTCCTAATTTCATTTTTGTGTGACTGGATGATTGACACAAACTGTAGTTAGAACTAAATGCTTTGAAAAAAACTCGTTTACGTCTTATTTTTTGCATGCAAACTTCGAGTTTATTAGGGTCGTTTTTTGTTTCAAATTTATCTCTGCTGCCTTATTATTATTATTATTTTTAAATTAAATAATATGAAAAAATAGCTTGGATAGTAGTTCCTGCAAATTTTTTCATCTTAAAGCCATAGCTAAGTAGTCTTGATAATCACGGATAAGCTTCCTCTAAGCTATATCCAATTATTTCAATACTCTCCTTCTTTTATTTTTATGAAAATCTAATTATCTTTTTGGATAATTGCGGATAACCGTATTTTGAACCAAATGCAATAATATTAAAATTTTCTTGCATATACTTCATTGAAAATCTTCTTCTCTTGCTGCCGGATAAGTTTTATCGCGTGCTTTAATAATAGTTTACAGACCAAACCTACATCTAAGAACTAAAAAAATATTTTCTTTTACTTTACATTAATTTTTTCCATTTTTTTTTTACTTGCAGGGCTCTATCGAAGAATGGCTACAGCTTTTACGCCTCGAGGAGTACATTCAACCGCTGCTCGATCAAAACTATAAAACTGTACGCGATGTAACTCAAGTCACTTGGGAAGACTTGGAGGATATTGGTATTGTTAAGTTGGGACATCAAAAGAAAATTCTATTGGCCATAAAACGTGTGAAGGATATCATAAGCGGAAAGTGGAACCCAGGCGGCATCAATGCTTACCAACAGCAGGTGAGTGAGAACGATAACTTGAAATAAATTAAAATTTAACCCTGATTTTATTAAATATAATTTAAACTTAATATACTTTATGTGTACATTATTTTATATTTTTATTTATGGTTTATTTAATTTAATTTCTCTAATTTCGTTCCTAATTTTTTCTTCTCTTTTTCGGGTTTTTTTAATTTAAAACAATTTGTGATTCATTTTTGCTGCTACCTGCCAAACATAAAAATACACATCACAACTACAAACACATACCCAAAAAAAAAAAATCGTTCCAACCGAAGGATTATCGCAATAAGATTTGGCCCACTGCCGTGCCACTGCCCACCACACCAACATATTTGCCAACCACGCGCGTCTCGTGGGACGATTCCAAGATTTATGCTACACCCGGCGTCGATGCCGTCTACTTTTGCGCCGGCTCGCATCACGAGTGTTGCAATGGCAACGATGTGGTGCCCATTAAGGTGAGCTAGCTTACAATTGCGAGACCAGCTGGCATTGTTTCTCTTTTTACTGTACCGCAGCGAAAAAGTGTGTGGGTGGCTGTTAAATGGCAAACCTGCAATTTTTTTTCATTCTAAATAGTTTTGCCAATACTTTCTTATAAAGCCATTTATTTTTATATTTATTTATTTCTTTTTTTTTTTCACTACCAACTCAATCAACCCACGTTCCGCTTTTGTGATCGCTAATATGTTTGTTTTTTCACTATCCTTCTCTCCCACGCCGTTCATTTTCATTTAGGTGCGCCAGCCACGCGGCAAAAGCTTAGAATCACTCGAGGATATTCACGACAATAGCACACGCAGCCATTTGACCTTTAGCCATTACACAGCCACTGATTATGGCCATTTTGCGCATCCAACGCCTGCAATGCAACAACAACATCATCAACAAGCCTTGCAACACCAGCAGCAACAGCATCAGCAGGCCATGCAACATCATCAGGCTGCCTTGATGGGCGGTGCCGTTGTGGGCGGGCCAGGTGGTGCTGGCGGCGCACGTTTGCTTAGCAATTCAGCCGCTATGGTGAGTTTCGAAATGTTGTACGAGGATGAGAAGTAAATGTGGCTATTTAAAAATATAGCGCTCCTGATGCTTAGGNTTTCGAAATGTTGTACGAGGATGAGAAGTAAATGTGGCTATTTAAAAATAAAGCGCTTCTTAGAAATAGCTATTTGTAAAACATATTTTTTTTGTATGTTTGTGGCATGTGGGTGCAGTTTACACGTTTTTAGAAGAGGATTTATAGGCTTTTAACATGATGTATAACTATATTTTGTTAGACTTAGATTGGTGGGAGTTCTCATCATCACAAAAAGCTGGCTGAGGCATTATGATCAATATTAAAATCTATAATAGCAAATTTTTTTTATTTATGCTAGGAAATTTTCATTTCCGAATAACGCCTCAAAAGTTGTTATAGCGGCCTGATAAGTATTTTCTTTTGGTTTAGACGGCTCAAACCTTATTTAAATTTCCAGACTCCTAAGTATTTTCTAAATCAGCGCTGTATTAGTTAAACCTATTATCTATTGCTCATTCCGTGTATCAAAATCTACCAGATCTTAATACTGAGTAGACTCCCAAGATCTTTTATCACTAAATAAATACTATTACCATACTATAACATTTTACAAATCGGTTTGATTCTGTTTTCACATTTCCGCCATTGGATAAGTCCGGATAAGTTTCTTACTCCTCGCGGATAGTATCTGTACAGTTTTAAATTTTATATTTTACATATTTAATTTGCCAACTTTCGTCGGATAAAGTGTTTAAGCTCTTGGGGACTAAATTCAGATTTACTTTGATTTCACATAATCCTTTAATTGAAAACACAAACTAATGCACGAGACCTTATTTTTCATTTCATAACATGCGTGTAACTCCGAATAAGTGAGTGAACTCTATTATTAACATTTTCGTGCTTTATTTTCACGTTTAGTCTTGGCGCCGTTCCTATGACGATGGTGACATCACACCCACCAACGATGCTACACGCGAACTCATGTATGAGGAGGGTGGCGGCACCTTGCCGCGTCAGCAGCGCGGTATTTTGCAACGTGCCGTGTTGAATAGTATGCCGCCGCTGGAACATCACTATATGAATGCTGCTGCCGCAGCGGAATATGTTTGTCATGCAGCTGGAATGGGCGTCGGTAGTGGTGTGCCAGGCGCGGCAGCGCATGTGGGCACGGCTGGCGCCACTGTCGGCGGATCCGGTTGTGTGCTGGACAGCACCGGTCTGAATGCAGTAAGTCGCGTACCTATTGATTACATGATCACTTATGCATATTTATTTAATAACTACATATTCTAAACTTCGTTATTTTTATATTTTCTTTTACCACTCCATTCACCAGTCCTACTTGTCCGGCAGTCCAATGAGTAACAAGAAAATCGCACCCGAACCACCGCGACGCCATTGCAGTATACGAAATTCGCGTACATTAACCGGGGATAACGCGCAACAATTGCAGCAACAGCAGCAGATTGCCTTGCATGCCGGTGTAAACGTAACGCCTGGCCTCTACTATGGCGGTGCCGGGGCTTTACACCACGGTGGCATGTATATGACGCATGCGCAGCAGCAAGCAGCAGCAGCGGCGGCCGCAGCGGCAGCTAATCAGCCTATTTATGCGAATTACGCGACCATACAACAGACCACGGCGGAAATACACTGCGAGAAGTTCCATGACAACAAGGTAACCTTAAATATCTTTAATAATAATAATCATAATATAATAATTTTAATAATCATCTACAGTCAAACTCCAGCATCGATTCCATCGATACCATACCATTCGCTAACGAAAATACTGGCACAATCAAGCAACGCCTGCTCAATCGCCAAGATATCGCTGGACAACAGCAGTCCCTACAATCGGGCACGAATTCACATCTGCACTCCTCCTCGTCGTCGTCTTCTTCGTCGTCGACCAACACCATCGCCAATATAGCGCACTCGTTCCACTCGCTAAAGACATCTGCCTCGCTGCACGACGCTTCGCTGATACGTAGCGACAGTATCGGCAGCACTACCAGCGGTGGCAGCGCCGGTGCCAGTACCGGTGGTGGCGGCAGCGGTTTACTTCTCTTGCGCTCACCCACACTACAGTATCCACCGACTGATGCAACGAACGCCGTCAGCGGCAGCGGCGGCTCGTCAACGATTATCACCACCACCGTAGATTTGCATACGCCTAGTGACGTTGAAAGTAATGCAGATGCGGCCGCTGAAGGTGGTGCGCCAGCAGCGGACAGTGAAGGCAAAGATGCATCTTCTGGTGTGACAATGCCGACATCTGGGCAGAAGGTATCTGTGAATGTGCTAAACGACATTGGCAATATGTTGGCCAATCTCACGGACGAGCTGGATGCCATGCTGGAGGAAGAGAAACGAATTGGACTAAATATTGATAGTGAATAAACGCTACAAGGGGAATCATACTTAGAGGACTACATACATATACACACATGAGTAAGTTTTTACGTGCGTGCTGTTGGGCAAGAGATGGGATTTAAATGTTAGTAGGTCGGTCGTACGTAAATTGTTAGTGATGCATGTGTGCGCAATTGAGCTTCAAATCAAAGCGAATACTGAACCGGCTTTGGATAGGCAATTGAAATGCAAAGGAGAATAACAGGCGCGGCAGATTTCGCACTACGTTTATGTCCTAATATTAATTTCATTGCCGATTGATTGGCAGTCTTTCGTGTTTGAGAGCATTCAAGCCTTACTGACATATCAGAACGTATGTAATTAATAAAGTCGGATTTTCTATTGGGCCACATTTTCCAAGTTTTGGGAAATAGAATTTTAGTTTTGATTAGCTCGCAATGGGCTTTCTACCTTTTGAATTAGATTTAGTAGCATCAAGACATACAATAAAGGGTCCTTTGCGATCTTTATCATAGTAATAGTATTTCTTATTAAATTCTTTTGTGGATCCATTGATGATTTGATTTGAAAATTGTTTGGTCAATTCATTGATGGTCTTGGTGGTTTGATTAATGGGTACAATACATAGACAATGATGATAATAAAATTAAAGGCTTTAATGAAGAAAAAATATTCATTTTTACTTAAGAAAAAATATTCATTTTTATACCTTTCTTTGGAAATTGATATTGGCCTTTGCTTCTGTCTGTTCCGTTCTATGATGGTTCCTCAGCCTCAATATCCATAGCATAATTTTCCGGACAACGGTTGTCAAATCAGTCGCCATCTTCAAACCATAAACAATGAATGAAACAAAGTATTTTTTTTTCTATTAAATACATAGTTCGGAATAACATCTTCTGGCAGATAAATTTCCTTAGGTTAACGTTAGATAATACTTATTTAGCGTTCAGCTGTGGTGTTTCTAATTTATTCTTATTTTCAGCTGAGTTATGACCAAGCTTTTCATACTGAAAACGGTCGAGGCTAGAAACAGTTTAAATTGACAGCTTTTGTCGCATAAACCTGAGGATAACATCGAGAAAATTTGTTTAGCTAGTTATACCTTACAAGGAATATATATAGGTGTATATAGGTATGTCTAAACATTTTGAGTCAGACTTATTCATTCATTCTACTACACTTACGAAAATTTGCTTACCGTATATAACCTTAAAAAAGAGGCTTAGACACTGAAAGCAGTTACGGATAACGCCGTTTAAGTATGGTTTGTTAGTATTACGAAATTAAACTTAGAGTAAAATCTCCAAACTACTAATTTTCTCCTTCGATTTGAAGCTCTTGCGGACGCATGCGTAGTTTAGTTGCGATTAAATACTTTAGTGTCTTAGTTGATAGTTTTCCAATTGGTGTCAAGCTAAAATTCATACATATTATGTACATATGTACGTAGGATTTATGATTTCTATACAAATTTATTTGTTTGATTAATTCGCCCAAAAGAAGTATATGTATGAAATGTTGTTTCTAATGTATATCATTTTTAAATTGTTTGTGAAAGTAGTTCTATGTATACGTCTAAACCATTTTAAAATGCCTTTGTGCTGTAGTTAAGAAACAATTTTTTAAAGCACTATTTGTTTTTTTTTTTTTTTGTGTGGAAAAGTGTTGTTTCAATTGTATTTGCGAGTTTAAAATTTTCAAGAAAATTTCTAGATATTCCATTTCCATAACCCCTATTTTCTGCTCTAAAAACACCCTGAAATAGCAGTTAATAATAAAAAAATACAGCAAAACTTAAGACATTTATTTAAAAAAAAAAAATATCAAAAATATCTTTGGCAAAATTTAAATTTTTATCAAATATCGAACAAGTTATAGGCAAGCAGAAGGAACTAAAGCAACAAGTAACATAATATTAAGAAGTAAAAAAATACAGAAAACTTAAAGTTGAAAAAGCTTTTAAAACAAAATGTATACTTTTGTACTATTTAAATACATTAAATAAATATATACATAAACATATATTTAATTAAATCTAAAATAAAAAATAAATAAGTGTTAACAATATTTAGTGGAAATATAGCGAAAGATTCATAGAACTAACTTAAGCAACAAAGCAGCAACACATTCCGTATAATTGACTTAAACATCAAATTCAGAGATTCAGAAAGGAAAGAAGGGTGGTTGGTTGATTTAAAATCGCTTTTACTATTTTTCCAAATGAAATGGTGCATTTTTGTCAAAAAAAAAATCATTAGTCGGACTATACAAGCACAGCTCTCTGTTAATCAGTCGCCCAAAAGCTCGATCTGAATTTAACACATATGTACACACAAAACCATTTCCATACTCAGATAAATTAAAAAAATAACAAAACACATTCGTATGAGTGAATTCCATCGCGATAAACTAACCTTAATTTTAATAGCATAATCTACTATAAAAATAGAAAACAAAACCCCTTTGCAATAAAAAAAACAGAAAAAATACATATTTATAAATACATAGATACATAAATATATGCGTAAAATAGACTAAACAAGCAAAAGAAAGAAGCACACCAACAAATATAGAAATGAGAAAAAATTTAAAATATAAAATGGTGCAGTGGGTTGAAAAATCAAACAACTAACAGTAAAATAATTTAATTAGGCGTTATAAAAAACTGATTATAAAAATGCGAAGTGCAAGAGCACGCAATATAGCGGGCAGCCATGCCTATATTAGTTTAATTTTAAAAATACTTATATATTTTAAAATAGTTAAGGTAGCAAAACTGTTTCTATCTTTATTTTTTCAAATTTTTTTTACAACAGTAATGCTACACCTCTTGGATTGCATGTATGTATGTACATACATACATATGTATGTATATGCAAATGGCCTTATTTTAAATTATATATATGCACTTTACATTCCATTTTTTATAAAAGAAAAATATATTTTTACTTGAATAAGTGTGGTCGCAAGCATTTGCACTTATAAAATATCATATTTTCTTTATATGTATTTTTATATTGTATTTTAATCACATCTAAATTATTTTTACTTTTTATTTTTGAAAGTATAAAAATTCGTTCAGTGAATTTTTGCAATTTATGGTTGAAAATATTAAATTCAAGGCGTTTATTATTCTAATTATTTTTAATGATGAATGGGCAAGGAAACCAACTTGAAATCAAAATGATTATGTAAGTGTTATTTCCATATAAATAAATTTATATACAAATAAAAATATTATAGCAAAAAAAAATAAAAATTAATATAATTATAAAAACGGACGGACAACAACAAAAAAATATATAAAATTCAAAATATGATAATTAGGTGTTTTAATTATTTGATTTAAGCCGGTTTCATTGTATTTTTTTTTTGCTGCAGCAGTTAAGGCTGTAGCATTACCAAATTTTGGCTATGTGGCCGGCATTTGAATTCATGTGTTCATAGTCAGCGGTTGAAGCGACGCCAACGCAACGCCAAAGTTGTATGTGGAAGGACCTTTAGTTTTAGGTTCGTTTCACTGGATTGTTAAAAAAACGCTCAAATTACTATTCAAGTAGCTTTATTGTACTATCCAAAGATAATTTATTTTGTTACATCTTCTGTTATCTAAACTGCAAAAAAAAAACTTTTACAAAAAATTTAAATGAAATAAATTTTAAAATGTTGCAAGGCGAATCTATGAACTAGAGCTGATTTGATATTTATGGTTTTTACACTGGTACAGCAGAATTTCATCCAAGACGAAATCTCGTCACTTCAGGATGTCTTAAAACGAAATGGCGAAAATTATCTCCTATTTTCTTTCTTTTTGACATCCTGATGTTCCAAAAAGCTTACTATATGCACTTGCTACCACCTTATATGGACGCGCCTTGATATGGTGCGACTTTCTGTGTAATTTTTTCATTCCAGTAGTCTCAATGCATTCTTTCCAGGGTCCAATAATCAGTGTTTATGTTTCTGAGTTAAGCAAACGTTCCAAAGGCTGGTTTTCAATCGCTTTATGAACCAACCAATTAAGTTTTTTTTTTATTAATATTTGACAGTTCAGAGGCCAAATAATTTGACAAAAAAAATGGAATCGGCTGCTCTGTTGCTTTCACCCGTGAACCAATTATAAAGATCTGACCGGTTGATAAGCAGCCATTTGCATTTGAATTTGAGAAAAAAGTATGTGGCGTTCGTAATTTTGAGTTTTCACACAGATCCATCTGATTGTATTAATTGCAATTTGAAAGTGATATGGTAAAACAGCAAGTTGCCGGCATGAGAAAACAGGAACAAGTTAAAACAATTTTTTTCAGATGTCAAGACACTTTTATCAGAAGGTGGAGACGTGGGGTTATGTTGCAAGAGAGCAATAGCGTGCTTTTCGCATCAACCCTGAGTTTTTATCGAAAAATTTCCCATCGATAAGTTTCAACTTGTATCGGTCATCATCATTCGAATGACATTCGTATGTCAATGTAAATTTTGTCTCTTCCACAATTCGCTGCATTTTTGCGAAGTTTGCTGCGGTACCTGGCGTCGACAACGCTGTCATTTTCGTTGAATCGTTGCTGTGCGTCGGGTCGCTGGTTGGGGTTTTTTTGATTTTTGCGAAAGGAAATAAACAAGCAAAAATTAAACAATTCTGCTATAGTGAATCGCAGCGTCAGTCAGTGGCTCTAAATTCGTCAGCGATTTGTACAAAACAGAAACGGGCGTTGTAAAAAACCTAAGAAAAAACGAAGTGCAAAAGGCAAATACAAAACAAGCTTGCACGCTTCGTAGTGATGTGCTGATAATTAGGTGAAATTAATACAAAACATTTGGATTGTAAAGTATTAAAATACTAAATTTGTTGTTTAAAATTCAAGGCGTAGTGCGGAGTGTGCTAAATTATATAAGTGCGAGCGGATTTAGACATTTTTTTGTTGACTCAGAAATTTCGCGAGCGCACGGTCTGCCAGCGCAGTGGACGCCTCTATGATTAGAAGACTGGAATGTCCATATTGTAAAATCTCAATTAGTATTAATCAAAGCGACAGAATCTACCAGACACGCTAATAAAAAAAGTATGTACACACATAGTACACACATACATAGGTTGATACAAATCAATTAATTTCATAAATATTTATTTTCTGCGTGCTAAGTTTCATATATCGATTACAAGTAAACCAAGTGCTTGTACGAGGCAGGTGAAAATATTCCATTGTGCGCGTGGGAAAGGAAGTGCTTACAACCGCTTTGAACAAAGCCAATACGACTCACTCAAGTCGCTAGAATCTGAGTGTTTGCCCAGAACTCGTACAGGATCACGTTCCGCTATTCATAACCCGTCTATGGAATTCTCTCCCCCTTTTATTTAAAACTCTTTAGACCAAATTTGGCATTGAACGTGATTTGCAATTTGCACAGAAAGCAGAAAGTATAAGTGAAAAACGCAGCTAAGAAAGAAAAAATGGCTACAGCGGCAGAGTGCAGCGAACTGGATCCGCGTATAAAGGTGAGTTTGTCTGTGATCATGTCAATATATTGGGTCTCGTGGGTCAGGCTTATGCGACTTAAACACATATGTATGTACTTACTTTATCTAAAGTTATATAGATATGTACGTGGAACTAGTCTACACTACTTTTCACTTAAAATGATATATGTACCGTTTGTATCGTTTGCCATTTTACTCGGTATCATCTTAATTAAACAGGTAAGGATATTGCTGTAACGTTATAAACATTCCTGTTGAAGGAGCTCGTTCCGATAACCTACACCCAACCATATTAGGGAAAGCATTGATAGGTTAAGTCAGGTTGTAGTGTCTACATCTATTACAATCCAGACAAATGTACCTATACATATTTGGCTTGTTATGATATTCAGCCTATTCATTATAATGGCTACTAATTGCTTAGGTTTTTTGTTGTGATACACATTCAAAAGAGCTTCATAAGAGGAGAATCCCTATCAGCCGGGTTACTATTTCCACTATATTAGTCGTATTAAAGTTCATTTACGTGTTTCCATGAATTCCTATAATATATTTTGTATACATACATACGTAGTAAATTTAATTATTAGTTGCAAAATTTATTGTTTTTATTTATTTTTACCCATTATCAGGCATTGATTCCGGGTTTTCCCTGTGAGATGTATTCATTTATGTATTTATTTATACATAGGTACGTACATAAATTTAAACTTCAGACATTTATGTACTGCACATTCTTTTCGGCATACGCACTTTGAATTTTTAATTTGCTTGCTTTACCCCCCACCCCCTCAATCAAAAATTTCCTCTGAACATTTAACAATTTAATAAAAAATGCGTTTGCCATAATTAAAATACTTGTAGCCAAGGTAATTCAAATGCCTTGCTTATCCGGAAAAAAAATTCAGTTTTATTTCTATGCATGTATGCACACCTGCGTTAAACTAATTAGAAACGAAATCCAAAATGATATTGTTTGCAATTTTTTTTTAATAATTTTCATTTAAAATATAATTTAATCTGTAACAGAAACCACAATAATAAAAGTTTCAAAGCTTGCAAAAATTGCAAAAAAATGAATCAAACTTCAAAAAAATTGTAATCAAAATTTCCAAATTTTTAATCAGAATATTTAGAAAACTTTCGAGTATGCAGTTCTTTAGCCTATTGAATTGTAGTCTAAGAAAGTGCAAGTCTCAAGTCGTTAAAAATTGTCGTTGATTTTTTAGAAGTTATTTAGTGGAGGGTGTTGCGATTTTTTTTTTTTCATATAAAAAAAATGTGTGATAATGTGTTACATGGAAGAAAATGCGACTGAAATTTTTGCAAACAATATTAATTTGAATTTCGTTTATAATTAGTTGAACGCAGGTGTATGTACATCCATATATATTTTTCAGTTGACTTACGTATAGTCCAAGTCGCTTTGGTGCCCTATTGAACTGAATTTACCTAGTACCCTAGCGTATTTGATAGTGTATTTTAGCGCCCTTCTTCTTCGAATGCTTTCTCTTTGCAATGTTGTGTGTGGCCCCTCTTACTGGTCCAATTGGCAATGACCGCGCACACGCTCAAAATTCACACATAATGTTCTCGGTAGAAAAACAAAAGTGATATTAATTTGAAGTTTGAGAAATTTTTGGTTTTGTGAACGTGACTTATTTAGCTCTAATTTTTACGCGACAGCTTGTAATAATTCGTAACCATTACTTATTTACTACTAGTTTTCTTGTTTTGTCATTTTCGTTGCAAATACTTGCAAGTAGTGGAAATTTACAGAGGAAAACGACAGTTGATGTTGAGGGGAAATTACAAGTTTTTACTATCTCGCAAATTATGTTATTTTCAAGTTACTGGAGAATACACTAGCATATCTAATTTAATTTTAAGCTAATTTAATTTTAAAATGTATTGCCTAAATATTCAGTGAGTGTCTAACTAACTATACCCTGAGTTTTTGACGATTTTATATGTAGGTATTTTTTTTACCAAATTTTTCTTATTTTTTTTATAAAAGTATACATATGTGTGTAGTTTGTTCAATCACAAAAACCACAAGAATCAATTTTTTACAAAGCTCGGGTGAAAGCAGTGATGCCAGACATTCTCTGTCAAAAATCCCACGGAAATGGGGAAAAAATCCCTCAATTACCCACATCTTGAAAATTTATCCCACATAATTCCCAACGAATTTAAACATATACATGTTTCAGTAGTAAAGAAGTAAAATTCATATAAAATAATAATAATAGTTTGGCGCTTACACATATGTGCTTTTCCTCCAATTTGTGGCGGTCCCCTTGATGTTGTCACACAAAGGGGAGGGACCTACAGTTTTACGCCGACTCCGAATTTCGAGTGTATTTTTATGAGAAGCTGTTTTTCATGGTAGGAATACACTCGGAGGTTTGCCATTGCCTGGCGAGGGCCGACCGCTGTTAAGAAAAAACCCCTTTGTCTGCATTTTTTTCACTCATTCATTTTTTCACTTTAATTTTTTTGCTCACTCACTAAGGGCCTAAAAGAATTTTTTAGTGACTTTAAAATTGAAGCACATTCATGTGCTATTTAACATTTCATCAGATAATTTGTTCCGCTTTTTACATGAAACACCAGTTACAACTGAAAAGATTCTTTCTTACTCAGCGCTTGAATTGGTTAACGTAAGAAAATTTTCAAAATTGTCCTTATACCTATTAACAATTATATACCATTTCACTCCACATCACATCTTCAGAACGATTAATTACGTAAGAATGTCGAATATTCTTGAATTTTGATCAATTATGCAACAATAACTGCGTCAAAAGAAAATCCCTTATTTATATAAAATGTCCCTTTTTTCCCTTTTAATAATTTTTGATGCAAAATATCCCTCAAATAGGGAAATTACCCACAATCTGGCATCACTGGGTGAAAGTGCAAGAAAATTTCATCGAAATTTAAAATGTCTTAATTCGATTGACAGAGATTTGGTTCATGCATTACGTACATATGTATGTATATGGAAGAAAATGCGCAACACCCATTTTTTCGGCCAAACATTTTTATCGCCAAATATTTCATTGTTTTTGTAGACCTTACGAGTATGAAATTGAATATCAAGGTATTCAGCGCACTTCTACTAAATTCAGCCTTTCTAAATATCATTTATAATTACATAAAACGCAGATGAAAGTACCTTACCTTTAGAATATTTCATTGAATTCAATCGCCTACATGGCTTTAACAAATTTTTTATTTACGTATTTATTTATTTGTTTATAAATAATAATTTTTTGTTCGATGTTTTTAAATTACTTGAAAGTGAGTTTATTCTATTTTGATATTAAAACACCAATTCAGCTCAGCCAAATTGCATTACATGGGGCGATCATTGTACTAAAAACTACTTAAATTATATTTTAACCATACAAAATATTCATAATCTAAAATAATAAAAGAAAAAGAAATTTTAAACAATCTACGCACAATAACAACATTTAAAAATTAAATTCACTGTTCTAAATAGTTATTATGTCTACTGCCAATATTCTTATTTTAAACAAATAATGCATTCAACACTCGATTATGTATTCAGCTGTGCTATATCTCTTCCACTCCTCAGAGCGCAAACAACGAAAATACATTAAACTCTGACATTGAGTACATTTCTGTGTAAATATGGGATTTTCCCTGAATTAAATTTAAATGCCCTGCAATAATCGTCTTTGTTTTTGTTTGCGCTCGCACAAAAAAATATTGCTTATTGCCAACGCAAGCACTTATAAGCTACAACTAACGTTTTTTTTTTTTTTATTTGCACTAAATTACTTTAGTATTAGTTACTTTTTATGATTTTCCAATAGTTTTTTTTCTTTTCGGCATACGGCTATGACCTTTCCCTTTTCACATGCCCTTCCCTTGACATAGATTCCCAACCGTTTAGTTGCTTATGACCTCGCTGCTATGACAGCTTTGTTTAGTCAATCATAGGTATGTAAGTAAATCGTTTGCACGCTATAGCATAAATCCTTGCAAAATGCTAAATATATAACTACATAGATGTAGGTACATACGTACATATATCAAGTAGATTCATATGTACATATGTACATAAATAGGTCTGCTAGAAAAAGCTTATCGCTGTTGGAAATCATTCGATTACGTTGAGCATTGATAAATCCATTGTTCAGTATGTGAATTATGAAACGCAGAAATATGTAGAAATGTTTTGTTAGCTCAAGATTTTCACACTCCTTGACGACTGATTTTTATTAGTTTTCTTCAGAAGAGTGAGGCTATTTTTGTATTATTGTTGAAATGCTTCACCGAATTTTTGAATTTGCGTAATTTGGTTCTTCCATCGTAAATTAAAACGCAAATATTTAACAAATGGCGAATGCTGATATCAGTATGAATTTGCTGAATTAGTTTTTTAATGAAATCGATATTTTTATCTTTTTTTGAACGTTTTATTTTGAAAAAGAGCGCGCTGAACTGCATATGACCGTGCTGAATTTACAGATCAGTAAAAAAAAAAAAAACGCAAATGCATATCGTCGTTTAAAGTGCAAAACGGCGTATCAGCAAAATGCAAAACCGCGTATGTGAAGTTGTAAAAATTATTTTCTAGAGCGTAAAAACACTCATATTTCAAAATGGTTCTCTTTTTTATAAAGCAATCGCATTTCTGGCTAGTATATTTCAGGGCGAATGGATAAGGATTGAGCCAAGAGCTTGTGTGAGCAAATCCAATTTTTGGCAGCCAATGTCAGTTACGCGGTTTTGCAGAATGACGATACGCGGTTTTGTACTTTAAACGACGATAGTCAAAATATCATTCTCTTCTGCAGGATACTTATTTTCTTTTTCTAAAAAAAAAAAAATTTTGCGCGTTCTTTAATTTAAGTTCATTTCGTATCTAAGCAAACAAGTAGCATTTGTCCCTGTTGATTTTGCCTTATATTAAAATACCTATGTGTACTCTTACCTCT